ATTGTAGCGGCTACGTTGGTATTGTTCAAGGCTGCATCACTTCGACCTCTTGGATTGCTCTGGTTCGGTTGATATATTTGCCTACCTATTTATCATATATCTTATTTAATCTAGTTTGGTATCTCGATTTACTTGTATCGGCTGGGATCTGGTTTAGGGTTTTGTCGATATCGGCTAAATTGCTTTGCCAGATTAGGTTAGCTAAGGTATCCACCACTCTTAAAATCAGTCCAAGGTTTGATTGTTTAGAGTTTATGCTACTTTGCATACTTTGCAATGCATCATCCCTAGCCGTGCTTAGAATCATAAAAGCTAACATGTCTTTGATTGCCAATAAGGGTTTCATCGGGGTTTCAGCCGATGAGTTATCTGTACGCTGCATTAGCTTACAAGGATTACATACAAGTTAGTTTTAGCCGATCACAACAAAGGTTTCACTATTTATCTAATCGTTTGGATTTTATGACATCGGACCTCCAGTCAATGCATGCTTTAACCTTCGGATCAACACTTATTCTATTATATCATTATTAGCAGATTGGTTTCTATTGGATTATATTATTATTTTATTGCATTATTATCAGCCGATTGTCTTTATATCATTATTTATATTGGACATATAGCCGATTGCTTAAAACCCTATCGACATCGGCTGGAATCGCTCTATCGGCTTATCAGCCGATCGGCTATTTGATCTCTTGCTTATCCATCTTGTCAGTTGCAGGATCACACTGACAACACTTGAGCTAAGCAGATCGCCAAGGCTGTTGCTGTTGTCAACTTAGTTTATGCCAACACAGTTCCAGACCATTGGCCGAGCGCGGATTTTTCATCAGCACAGATTTGGCATGCCAAGTGGGACACAAGTTTTATACCTACATGTATGAAGAAGTCGACGCTAGTATCCTGGTCGCAATGGAGAATTTGACGGAGGAACAGAGGCAACAGATGGATCAATGAGTGGCTGATTTTCAAAGGCGTTGTCTTCAATGTTTCTTCATGGTGCAACAAGGGTCGATTCAGAAGACTCAATTTTCCAAGCCGATGATTGAAACACTTCAAGATACAGTTGATGAAGCAGTTCATCGTCCTTTGTTTGATCAATCTGGAGTTTTGGTGGATATATTGTGAAATTTGATCAAAAGAATAATTGAGGAGTAAATTGTTCAAAGACGACAGCTCGGGGGGCAGATTGAAGAACAACAGCAATATTGGCTTGGGGGCAAGCGCATCAGTATCGACAAGATGAATCATATCAACAACATCGGCCAGAAGAAACTCAAAGACATCAGTATGGAGAAGATTGGACCGATAGAATTGTGAAATTAATAGAGTAGTAGTTTGGAATTAAACCCAAGGAACAAACTTCTGTGTATCGGCTGCCATATCCTGAATAGTTTGATAGGGTTCCATTGCCACACTGAACCACTTGACGAACCTACACCAAACCCACCACCTTTAAGAGACTCCACTATCTCTGTAACTTCTTCCTCTGGACTTCACATGCAATTGTGCTCCACTTTCTCCCCCATCGTCTCAGTCGTCTTGCCAAGCGAAATTGAATTCATCCTTAGCTGTCACATCATAGACTCCTCGAAGACCATGTTCACCTTCATCTTCTATCTTAAATTTGATTTATCTAATCCATGGCCAGATAACCCGTGTCATCACCAAATAGATAAATCAAACTCACCAGACTGATGAAGAAACCTTTTCTTATTTGTAGTCTTATGAACCGATCTAATAAATTCAACATCCCCGCTTTCCACATCCGTAGACCAAGCTCCATGATAACTTGAGAAAATTCTCTGTTGCCTTGAATCACTTGAAGAATTACCACGATAGTGAGCCTTCGATCTTCCTCTTCAATTCTAGTCTATGTCCATATGAGGGATACATGGCATGGGTCGGAATGCAGAACGCTTGCGCGTGAAGGGATCGATAGACGACATGCCAAAAGGGACTGAGACCGAGCGTCACTGCGATGACGTACCAAAAATCCGGACAAAAACATGTTTAATTTTTATAGTAGTAGAGATAAAGCATGTAAAATGTTCCATTCATTCATCCAAAATAAAAGTTAAACCTTTAGTATAGCCAATCAATTATTACCCAAGTGCATTTGGTATGGTTTTCGTGAGTGAATTTTTTTTAACTCGATTATCTCAGCCAAGGAGCTCCCTGCTCAAGCCAACAAGATTGTGCAAAAAAAACAGATGGGAACCTGAATTTTTACCTTTTCAAATAGAAGGAAGAAGCCTAAAGTTGCTGCCCATGGGTGCTAATATGTATGGATTGGCTTCTAACTTTTATAACCCTGTAATACTTGTTTTATTCCTTGTTTGTAACTCATAGTTGTGGCAGAGAAGTAGCAGCTGTCATATCTACTTCATGTTTCTTTTCTAATAGAAAACATGCAGATTTCCTTATGTTGATTATTATTTTAAGAAAAGATGTTCCAATGCTCCCTTAGACCTAACCAAACATGGGAATCAATCATAATCATTGAAGAACCATAAATGTTTCCAAGAAAACCATATGATAAAAGGTGGCACAAATTGAAACTACTAGCGTAACAAATTTGGGACTGAGAGAGCCTGAAGTAAAATGCCAATATGCATGCCAAAAAAAAAAAGTTGGGGAAACTTCCCTGGTGTTCTTTATAGGCTTGAGAGGGCATCAAGAACTCATGCATGTTAGTATGCCGTACAAATTCGAGTTAGCAACAAAAGCAAGTTTCTAATTCTTTGATAAGCCTACAGGTAGTTTCACCGTGTTTAAATGGTAAGAGAACTGCTGAGTATCTGAATTTGACCGAGACCCTGATGTGTAGACTGTAGACTGTAGTACATACAATTCAGACAGTGTATGAGGGCAACAAGATGATAAATCGTTTGTGTTTCACGTCTTTCACCCATTTTTGGGGATCACACACTTCTCGAAGTATCCGTGAAACACACAAGCATGATATGTCATCTATTCAATTACAATTGTACAATCCTACCAAAATGAATGTTTTCAGTTGACTGAAAAGAAGTTCTTAGTTTTCTGATGATCAAATGTGTTGTGATACATAATTAACACAAACTTCCTGTCAATCTGAAAAGCACTGGTGTAAAGGGATAAGTTGCAGGAGATCGGAGGGAAATTAGAGAGGGGAAAAGAGAAACTAAGTGACATGAATCATGTGAGTGTTGGAATTTGAGGGTGTTCAAACAATCCAAGTATATCACAAGATTACGCAGTATCATTACAAAAATCAGTATTAAATTTCGCATTAATCAATGAACAAAATTCACCAATAATATTTCAGAAACAGTACACATGATGTTGGTCGTGGACTCGTGGCAGCGAAATAACATCCACAGGATCAATAATTGAATTTTACAAGTTGAGTGCTCAAAAATCTAAGTAGTAGTTTACCTAGCTAAATGGACGAGATATTTCAGGAGTACAAAATCAGTATGCGATTTTGACCATTAAAGGCAAGTTAACTTGTCTAGAACACAGGAATTTCCGGTGGTGGGCACCGGGAAAGTCAGGCGGATCGGGTGTCTTCATTCAAGCAACGGTACAAGCGTACAGAAGAACAAAACGAAGTGAGATGCTGGGAAAAATAACATGAGAACTAAGAAAAAAAAGTAAAAGTAAAAAACCAGCGAATCTTTCATGCTTGAGCATAAAACTTATTTTAAGAACTAAGAATAAGAAAAGAGTACTCCCTACGTTTCACATTATAAGTCGTTTACTTTCTCTGTCGCATAATGTAGCAACATAGTACGGGACATCTTATAGTACAACGAATCTGGACACTATGAGATGTCCCATCTAGTGCTAGGTTGCTATATTATGGGACGGAGGGAGTAACTATTTTCTTGTTCTAATCAAACTTCTTTAAATTTGATCAAATTTATAAAAAAAAAGTTATACTAACATTTTTAGTATAAAACAAATATATCATCAAAATAAATTCAAAATAAATTCAATGTTGAATTTAATGAAACTAATTTGGTGTTGTAAACGTTGCTAAAATTTTCTAAAAATTTGTCAAACCTAAAGAATTTTGACTAAAAAAAAGTCAAACGACTTATAATATGAAACGTAGGGAGTGGCATTTCATAAGGAGAAACTCAATTCCCACAGCAAACAGGAATAACTCCCACATTCCAAAAGGGGCATAAATCTGAACAAAATTCACCAATTATATTTCAGAAACAACATAGTACAATAGCACCTCATGTTCTCTTTTCTAGGTCATCTAGTACATATAGCCAACAATAGTTTCTGATAGAGTAAATTTCACAAAACTACATATACTTTAATCAAATTATCACAAAACTACAGATTTATAGTGATATATCACAAAACTACATATTTAGCACTAAATTTATTACAAAACTATAGATTTAAGGTGAAGTATCACAAAACTACAGATTTAATAACAAAATTATCACAAAACTAAATACTTTAGAGTTTAAATCCTTAGCACTAGTGTTACACGTGTAAGTTTTGTGATTAAATTATCACTAAACCTGTAGTTTTGTGATAATTTTATTACTAAATCTATAGTTTTACGATACTCCACCTTAAATCTGTACTTCTGTGAGAAATTTAGTGTTTAATTGGTAATTTTGTGATATATCACCCTAAATGTGTAGTTTTGTGATAATTCGGTCAAAGTATATATAGTTTTGTGAAATTTACTCCAATGATATTTACGTAATATTAACATGTTTTTCAGGAGTAGAAGATGAGGATAATGATTTAAAGCACGTCAGGAAGATGAAATATTTTCAGAAATTCTAATAAGAATCACATTCACATCACCTGAAAACAACCAAGAACCCACGGCAATGCATGGAGATACTTTTGTCAAGAGAATAGTGGAAAAAAAGGTTGCAACAAAGATTAAAAGTATGCACTGTAAACCTTAGATCACTTTAGCCCTTTTAAGTACTAGTTGAGTCATCGATCACCACTGAGTAAAAGTTCCTTACAGATTGCAAAAATTGAACAGCACTTCTCCATGTTATCACATTTCAACTGATACTCCTCATAAATAAAGAAAGTGCACGCATCGTTTTGGAAGTACAGTGGATACAGGAAGGTGTCCACATCAACAAGAAGTACCTTGATGAACAGAAAGATGTCACCATCGGAATGTGAGGAACACATGAGAAAATTCCTGGAAAAAACATGGAAACAATCTACCATGCACTGGGTAAAGACAGAGACAAGACAGGAATTTGAACAGAAGACTGATTCAACAACCAATCAAATGAGAAAATTGGTGGAAAAGTTTGAGCGCCCACAAATGCAGATCGCACTCCAGGTCTTTCTCCTTGTCAATTTGCTGTTCCAGGACATGCCCATACTAGTCTATTCTCTTTTATCCAATTCCTTATCATCACCAAAGGAGAGATCTGCGACTAAGATAGCATTAAATTTCTCGCAATGAGTAGGATATAGACAGGACACACCATGATGCCTTTACATATGTTACACCATATGCTGGATATTTTCTCCATGAATAATTAGAATTTCAGGGTGACATATTGGTTGTATAAAAAGATACTTCTATGATAAGGCAGTAAGCTTCCACTGAATGACTGAAATAACTTTAAAAATGCATCAGCAGTACTTAATCCCTAGATAAATCAGTATAACTACATTGATGCTGAATAATAATAAAAAGACCAGACAGATGTGTACCATGCATTCTGTTCAAAATTCTAGATAGCCAACAAAGTCCACTTGACAAGTTGGATCACACCCATGATGCACTGTCTTCCAACAGACTATCGGTACAAACCACGCAATCTGTAAGTGAGAGCATGCCGTCTCCATTGGCGTCGTCTCCCTTCCTCCTCCTAAAGTCCAATCTGCCACATAAGCTTTCAGTATACTATCTCCATAATATTTCACATAATTGACAACTTACAGTGTCCACTGTTGATTGCAGCTGGTTTCCCAAACTTAGTCTGGCCACTTGATGTTTTGTTGTACCAACACCAATCATCAATTATATTGTGTGCCCAAACTTGCTTGCAAGGTTGAGAAATTATTTTTAATGATAACATATGAATTGCTGAATCAGGCCACATGCATATTCTGAATTGTTGAATCAGGCCACATGAATAATCTGAATAGCTGAATCAGGCTTGACACACTGGGAAGTGTAAACATGATTACTCAGTGATACACTGCACATAGTCAACCAAACACAATAATTTTGGAGATAGTCCTGTCAGCAATTGGCACCGGGCCATTTTTCTTACTGGAATCCATGTTGGGAAAATAATCAAAATCCAAAGCAGGCATGCACAACTAAACTTAAAGAAACAGTTTCTCACAATTTGCACATATCAGCAATTGATTAGCACATCTCGATAAATAATGATGATAATGGTTTCTTTCCATTATTGAATCCACAAACAGTTTCAACATATCATCCTTTCTATCCTTGTTACCCAATTTACCGTGCAATCCCAATTGAGTCACCAAAATGTTACCTACCCTGAAGTTACCACACTGAACTAATTAAGCCGCCTTAGCTTGTACCTCTTTCAACCCATGGCTCTCCCTTACCAACAATGCAAGCCCTTCCTTTACCTCCCCCTTCTTCTCCTTCACCGCGGTAGCGATGGCGGCCTTCTCCGCCCCCTGCTTCCGGTACTGCCAGGCCTCCGCGGGATCCGTCGTGATCACCCTCACATTGGTGCCGCCACCATTGATCTCGAGCACCTCTGGCAGCCCATTACCGCATCCTCTAGACAATCCCACATCCACCCTCACCGCCTGCGCACCGCACACCGCATTGATCCCCTCGGTCTGAATCGTGTGCCCCATTATCATCCTCTTGGCGCCCGGGATCATCCCGAGAACCCCCTCGAGCCGCTGGCAATCGCAATTGACGCCGTCGGAGAACCTCCTGAGCCAGACCACGGCGTCGCGGCCGCGCACAAACTCCGGCGCCACGGCATTGGCGCCCCTCTCGCCGCGGATCCACTCGCTGACCTCCGCATTGATCCGCTCGAGGCCGTATTCGACGTTGGCCTCGAGGAGCCCGCCGTGGACGAACACGGAGTCGCCGACGACGAGCACGGTGGGGAGGTCGGCGAGGAACCGCCGCGCGATGGGCCCGTCGGGGAGGAGCGCGGCGAGGCGGGATCGGATGCCATCCCAGAACTCCGGCTTGACGCCGGGGAACTCCTTGGGGATTCCCAGGAACGGGTTCTTGGGGGGCGGGTCGCCGCCATCGCCGCCGCGGGCGCAGCGGCGCTTGATGGCGAGGCCGGCGCGGTACCAGCCCGCCCAGGCGGAGAACTCCCGGAGGCCCTGGGGCGTGGCGAAGCGGAAGTCGCCGGAGACGTTCATGACCTCGTGGTTCCCCATGATGGGGAGGAGCGCGCCGCCCTGGCCGGCGGCGGAGATGGCGAGGCGGCGGATGAGGTAGAGGAGGCGTATCTCGTCGCCGCCGCGGTCGAGGATGTCGCCGAGCTGGACGGCGAGGGTGGGGCCGGCGGACCAGGAGGTGGGGTCGTGGGGAGGGACGAGGCCGGCGAGGCGGAGGGCGGAGAGGGACTTGGGGAGGTCGCCGTGGAGGTCGCCGATGGCGACGAGGCGGGTGGGGGAAGGGAGGAAGGTGGTTGGCGTAGGGGGAGGAGGGGGTGAGGGGGTTGGGGTGGAGGGGAAGAAGATGCCGGAGACAGCGAAGTCGACGAAGGCGTCGGCGAAGGCGGAGACGGCGGCGGGGAGGTCGCGGCAGGAGGGGACATCGGCGGCGGCGGCGGTGGCCATATTGGGGGTCAGACGGAGACGGGTTTGTTTGGCAAAAAGGGAGGATTTGGTGTGCGGAAGATGGAAATTGGGTGGGGCCGCTTTTATAAGTTCCGGGACATGGTTTCTAGTCAACGCACAAATATTTTTAGAGCGATTTCTTTTTTTTTTTTTACAAAACTGCGGAATATATTTACAGGTTTGTTCGGTTCTGATAAGGCATGTTTAGTTCGTGAAAAAAAAATATTTAGGTATCATATAGGACGTTTGACGGATGTCAGAAAAGGTTTTCGGACGTAAATGAAAAAACTAATTTCATAACTTGTTTGGAAACCGCGTGACAAATCTTTTGAGCTTAATTAATCTGTCACTAGTGCATATGGGTTATTGTAGACTTATGGTTAATCATGTAGAGTACTAATTAGAGATTCGTCTCGCGATTTCTATGCAAATTATGCAATTAGTTTATTTTTTATCTATATTTAATGCTCTATGTATGTGTTCAAATATTCGATGTGACGTTTTTGAGAAAAAAATTTGGGTACTAAACCGGGCCTAAATTTCAATCCATAGCAACATAAAAAGGTGAAGAAATAGAAAGAATATACTCCCTTTATCGTCACGAAAAACAAACCTAGAATTGAATGTGACACATACAACGAATCTGGACAGAAGTATATCCAGATTCGTAATACTAGTATATGTCACATCTAGTACTAAGGCTTCGTTCGTTCCCGGGTGATATGGGAGATTGGGAGAGAAACCATCTCGTTTTCCGCGCGCACGCTTTTCAAACTACTAAACGGTGCGATTTTTGCAAAAAAAATTTATAGGAAAGTTGCTTTAAAAAATCATATTAATCCATTTTTGAAATTTAAAATAGTTAATACTCAACTAATCATGCGCTAATGGCTCACCTAGTTTTGCGTATCTTCCCAATCTCCTCAATCCCCTTCTCCTCAAACACACCCTAAGTTGATTTTTTTATAGGATGGAGGGACTACACTTTAGTTTTTATAATTTTTTCAAGAGGTTTAAGTGGATGAAATTTTTCACGTGTTTTCTATATACAACTTGGAGGAAAAATTTCTTACAAACAGAATGGTATTAATAGGAATTAATCCTTAACAATCCAAATTATTTGATTTTTCTTCACACTGAATAAACCCATAGACTTAAATAAATTGGGATGAAACAAAACATTTTTTAAGTTGACAGAATTATCAAGTTTTAGTAGAATATGCTAAATGTGATGCTGCTAAAACAATGATATGACTTAAAATGACACCAATCTAAACAGCCCAAAGACACAAATGCTACTAATGAAAGGTCCAACCAAAGTTTTTTAACAAAGCATTGCCAAATATATTAATTAGTCAATTTTTTTTATCTTATTCACTTGATTACCCCACTCTTTGAAAAAAATATGTTTTCTAAAAACAAATCTTCCATTAAACCACTATTTGTTAATTTTATTCTTTAAAACATTTAATGTTTCTCTAGAATTAAGTAAATAAGCCACAATAATAATTCGCTCAATAGTATATAAATCGCCTAATTAAGTGAAGAGATTGTTACCTATCTTTTTTTTTTTTGCGTGGAGATTATTACCTGTCGTTAGATGCATACGAAAAATAAATGTGCCCCACACCTTAGGACACTGGTGTACAAAACATGCTAGTAGACGGAAACCATAATGCTAATTAACCAATTCCGGCTCAAGCCAAAAGAAATTAAACCAGCATCGACCGACATCTTCATTCCTTCGACAGTTATGAAAATCGATCGACTTTACGGAGAAATTCAGGAACCCAAGATATAAAACCGGTTTTCCTGGTTGAAATAATCTTACCAAAAAAATAATTCCCAAAGAGGAGCAGCCCATCGTTTGGCATATCCAAGGAAAAAACCAAACAACATATTTACAAATGAAAAATAATTTATAAATAAAACTTTTAGCAACTTAAAAGCAAATGCTGAAAAATAAACCATGATAAAAATACCCAAAATGAACATCAAACTTAAATTGAAAATTTAAATTTTGTCTGATAAGTATAAGTATACACGAAAAGATAAGGCTACACGAGACAACGTTACGGGGGTTCATCAAAATTTTGTTTCATTTTATTCGCTCCAAATGTAGCATTTCTATGGACCAATGAAAAAAAGATGTGATCATTTATGGAATTTTGGAATTATGGCTTCCAAGTGTACCCGTGTACCATGTGTTTGATACTGGTAGTAATAACGATAGTGACTCCGCTCGTGTCCTGCGTGATCGATCTTGGCAAATGATGTGATATGAGACGCAAAAAAACATGTCTTTTTCAGTTGGAAGGCGTCAATGTTAATGCCGGGTGAATGACGTTTTCTGATACGTGTCGGCAGAAATCACCATGCGGATAATCTTGACTAATACGATGGCTTAGCTAGGATATTTTGTTCACAACCTATTTGTATTGGGATATTAATTTTTTTTTACCATTGTATGATTGATGGATACACACATCATCCATGTGTATATATTATTAGCCTTGTAATGATTTTGTTTCACATGATAAATAATTTGTAGCTGACAATACTAATTCCAACGCATCATCCTGTTTGATTCAGCTAGCATTATTATAATCTGAATTATTAGAAGTAGGCTAAAACAAACAGATAGCTTATTAATGATAGATTATTATAATTTATAAACCATATTAGTAATCCACTCGAAAGGTACTTTTTTAGATTATTGGTGGCTAACATCTAATAATTCGGAGAAACAAACATCTAACTGCTTATTCTATATCGGCTTATTATAATCTAGCTTATAGTAATCTCGCTCAATGATCTACTCCCTTCGTCCTAAAATATAAGCATTTTTAGCTATGGATCTGGAGAGCTGTGTGTCTAGATTCATAGCCAAAAGTTGTTATATTTTGGGACAGATGTGGTAGATCAAATAGGGCCTTAGAGAAGCTTAAGATTATAAGAAGCAGCTTAAGAGAAGCTAGCCGGTGAAATCTGGAGAAGCTGGCAAATCGAACTTTGGCTTCTAATTCATTTTCTTGATTCTACAACTACAGTTTTTATAATCCATGTGAAAATCTAGACTGTTTGAGGGAGCTTCTGACAGCTGGGAGAAACCGCAGCTGTCAAAAACTCCCCAAGTAGGTACTCAGCCTCAACAACAACACATGTGATTCAGGAGTTGCGAAGTGAGATTGGGATTTACAGAGATAAATATGTTGATGATCATTAATTTTTTTTTTCAGTTTCTTCCCCATTTCTTCTACGAAAATGTAGGTTGCTTTGATTTGGTCTCATGCTTCACTGGTGTCACTGGTACGGGTGTGTGCTGACGATCGATATGCAAAGTCTTGTGGGCATTTCTAGAGAAAATAAGGTTTTCAAATCCAAATGCCAACTAACAAGATCTTCCCGATAGTGATTGGCCTTGCAATTGATAAACAAAAAAATGAGGAGATTTCTAGAGGAAAAATTGGGTTCATAAAACTAGTACGAGCACAGCATGCTGATGGTGGTTGTTAATGAGCAGATCTTGAGCAACATCCGGTACTGCCTAGGCTTTCAACTTGACACAACCTTAAGTGAAGCCAAGCCTATTCCACCTTTAATTGTTGTTGAGTGTAGATTCTACTCAAAATTGTTGGCTAATGGCTAGTAGGAACAACGTGATGGGAAAAAAAGTACTTCTAGGGCCTGTTTTGATCCCTTGGCAAGTTTTTTTAGTTTGACAGATCAAATGTTTAGATACATGCATGAAGCATTAAATATAGAAAAAAAACTAATTATATAGATTGCGTGTAAATTATGAGACGAATCTTCTAAGCCTAATTGCTCTATGATTAACAATGTGGTGCTACAATAAACATTTGTTAATGACGGATTAATTAAGCTTAATAAATTCATCTCGCAGTTTACAGACGAATTCTATAATTTGTTTTGTTATTAGACTACGTTTAATACTTTAAATGTGTGTTCGTATATCCGATGTGATACGGTAAAAAAAAATTACCCCCAAGGCCTTGTTTAGTTTTCAACTTTTTCTTCAAATTTTCAATTTTTCCATCACATCAAAACTTTTCTACACACGTAAACTTTAATTATTTTCTTTACACTTTTAATTTTAGTCAAACTTCTAATTTTAGCGTGTAACTAAACACAAATCGAAATACAGCCTTAGACTTGCCATGTCTTCAATACACATATCGGCGATGAACATGGAAGTTCGTAATTGTGATGTTTGATCCCACACGCAACTAGATTTGCCAGAACGAATGAGCCCAGTGGGCCAACTTAGAGTGCCTCGATCATTTGCATATTAACGCATTCGTCTGTCGCGCTTGTGGGCTGATTTCTTCGGCTCCCTCCGTTTCACAATACAAGTCATTCTAGTATATCAACGTTTGATGTCATAATTCTGGTATTTGTATAGTATGGGGATCGTCAGTGCTAGAATATACGCGAGACTGAGGTAAAAGAGATGGGGACGAGGATTTTTATACAGGTTCGGGCCCCTGAGCTATCAGGTAATAGCCCTACATCCTGTTGGCCAGAGCCGATATTGCTCTTATTCACCATAATTACACCAGTACAATATGTGGGGTAGCCTATCTAACTGTTGTCGACATGGCGGTCTGAAGGTCTGACTCGTAGTCGACAACAGGGTAGCCTTCCTCCTCGAGCTCGCGCCCGACGAAATCAGAGACAGTGCTAGATCCCTACGGCCGGCCTCTGAAGGTACCGGATAGGGTCGATCCAGGCGTGTCTCTGATGTCGATATCCGGCGGCTTGTCTTGGCGTATGTAGGCTTGTATTTTGCGGCTTCTGGTGGGTGTATGTTGATTGTGCTGGTTCCCCCCGGTGGGTGTCTGTGGATTCTCCCCTCTCATCCTAGGGGGTCTTATATTTATACCCATAGGTGTCCCGTTATCCAAGTAAAATTAGGAAAACCAATATGGATACAATCCGAGTAGTCCTTGTCGTTTCCATGTAGAACTCTGGTTGTCTTTCCTTATCGGAACTCCTCCTATATCCGAAGGTTGTTTCCGTATAGGACATGGTATGTGGTGG